GAATCAAAGTGTTTTCAGTCTACTGCCTTTAATAAGTGCAAGTTTAAGGCAGACTTAATTAACAGGACATAACAAGAGAAGGAGATCTGGAGTGTTGATTTTTCTCCAACAATTCTTTCCTCACAGGAATCCTATTCAGAGCTTTTTTCCACTACATTCCAAACAGCAAATCTTCCGTCTGTGGAAACAGAGCATGGATGAAAACGTCCAGCTATTGTGGAAATACGACATTGAATGTAATGCTCTCAAACTAAAAGAAAAATCTAATACATTCAATCTAACGAGGGTGCATCACATGCTATATTCAGATCATTTTTTTGATTCTACTTAAGTTTTGCCCTGGTGTGAAGATCAATGATTTGGAAGCCAATACACTTACTCCTCGCTTATCGACTATCTAGTTTTCTGACATTTCACAACTACAACCATAGTAAAAAATCTACTACTTGACTATTTTGTGCATTAACGACGTATGTCTGGCAGTAACGAGCGCCAAGATGTGAGACAAGAGTAACGCAGTCTGTGATGGTTAAAGTTCTGTGTCAGTTTGGCTGGGCCATGATTCTCAGTGGTTTGGCAGTTATGTAATGATGTGATCTGGCAGTTACGTACTGATGTAATCATCCTCCATTTTGTGATCTGATGTGGTCATCCTCCATTTTCACGTAGCGCTGATTTTCACATAACAACCTGGTCTTTGGAACCTAACCATGTTGATAAGTGAAAAGTGAGTATAATGTTTATTGCCACCACCTATCATACTGTGGTGACTTGTGTGTTGCTATGATACTGGAAGCTATGCCACAAGTATTTCAAATTTCAGACTAAGACAGACTAAGAAGAAAAGCCTAGCAATTTACTTTTGAAAATTAGTCAGTGAAAACTCTACGGACCACAACTGAATGCTGGCCAATATAGTGCTGGAAGGTGAGCCCCATAGGTTGGAAAGCACTCAAAATACACAGCGGCCGAAACAATGGAATCAAGTATACACTGATTGTGAAGATGGTGCAGAAATGGGTAACATTTTGTTCTGTTGCACACAGGGTCCCCGTGAGTTGGAGCTGACTCGAAGGCAGCTAATAACAGCATTTATTGAGCAGCTACTATGCCAAAGGCTTCCACAAACCTTATCATATGCAAACATCACATCGACCCTAAGGAACTCGAGCTAAAGATCTTTCATAACTGACCTAAGATCACATAGTAAGAAGAGAAACCTGGTGTCTCACTCATGTCATTGAATCCCATGTCTAGGTTTGTTACACCACATCTCATTGCCTCCCTAGAAATAAAAGATTTTTGACTTATTATAAAGAAATATAAAGACCTTCAACTTACTGTTTAATAGATTTGGAAGGATAACTGATACAATTATTTGGCTCACTTAATGGAAAAATTCCTACTATTCAGTTTAACAAGGGTGATTATATCTGTCTTATAAGAAGAACCAGTCCAGAGATTCAATTCAATGTCTATTCGAGAGAGATATAATTCGAGGGATCCCAGGGGAGTAACTTTAGTGCCTCCTGCCCACCAGCTACCCTTTCTCTCCCATGTTTCTTTTACTATTTTGGAATTCCCTCGTTTTAAATGTATGATTCTGGAGAATCAAATTGCACACATTAAAACTGCCCATAGGACTGGGTGCTCATTAAATTAGGGATGATATATAGGCTATCTCACATTCCATCTTTGATGGATTAGTAGTCTCTGCTTAGAGTTCTATGATAAATGGAAGTCTGAGGTCATGTTCAGGTTCAGTAAGATCAATTATCAATGTCAGTTAAGGCAAGGGGGTAGAAGTAGTAACGGAAAGCAGATTGTATTCTTAAACTATGCACGATCACTATCAACTCAGTGTGAATTTATCTGATGACTTCCCTAGTTCTTAGAAGAATGGGAGAAGGGAGAGAAGGGATAATTCCAAAGCTAGTGGTAGAATTACTATATAATTTATTTTGCAAACCATGGCACTTATGAGAGGAATAAAACCAAAACCAAACCCATTGCCTTTGAGTCAATTCTGACTCATAGCAACCCTATAGGAGGGAGTAGAACTGCCCCCATAGGGTTTCCAAGGCTGTAAATCTTTATCTAAGCAGACTGCCACATTTTTCTCCCATGGAGTGGCTGATGAGTTTGAACCTCCAACCTTTTCAGTTAGCAGCTGAGCACTTAACCATTGTGCCAACAGGGCTCCTTTTGAAAGCAATTTTTGTAGTTAGGTGCCATTGAGTTGGTTCCAACTCATAGCAACCCTGTGTATAACAGAACGAAACACTGCCCAGTCCTGTGCCATCCTCACAATCGTTGCTATGTTTGAGCCCATTGTTGTAGCCACTTGTCAATCCAGGTGATTGAGGGTCTTCCTCTTTTTCAGCGACTCTCTACTTTATCAAGCATGACGTTCTTCTCCAGGGACTGGTCCCTCCTGATTACCTGTCCAGAGTAAGTGAGATAAAGTCTCACTATCCTTGCTTCCAGGGAGCACTGTGGCTGTATTTCTTCCAAGACGGACTTGTTCGTTCTTCGGCAGTCCATAGTATATTCAATATTCTTCACCAACACTATAATTCAAAGGCATCAATTCTTCTTCAGTCTTGCTTATTCATTGTCCAGCTTTCATGTGCATATGAGGCGAATGAAAATATCATGGCTTGGGTTAGGCATACCTTCGTCCTCAAAGTGGCATCTTTGTTTTTCAACACCTTAAAGAGGTCTTTTGCAGCAGATTAGCCCAATGCAATAAGGGATGCTATTAACCGATTGCCAGGACAATAGGTGTAAACCGTGACTGAGTGGTCATCTTGTTGTTGTTAGATGCTTTTGTCAATTTCTACTCATAGCGACCCCAAGTGACAGAGTAAAACTGCCCCCTAGGGTTTTCTAGGCTGTAATCTTTAAGGAAGCATATTGCCTGATATTTGTCCCAGGGAGCCTGCTGGGTGGGTTTGTGGATTCAAACAGCCAACCTTTCAGTTAACACTGCACCACCAAGGCTCATCTTAGCTCTGGAGAAAGGCAGTTCCTCAATGCCATAGATATAGAGGTAGAGATATAAATTTCCTCCTTCAAATAATCCATCAAAATCACTTTCCTGATGCTATTGCTTTTACACAACTGTGGCTTCCAATGATCATCTTTCCCCTACAGCAGAGAGGAATTGAAGCAATTACCCCTGGGTAGGATTCCTGAAATATTACAGATTTACTATGAAATGCATGAAAGAAATTAAGTCAATACGCCATTTATCAGAGGCTGATTATCCAACTTATGCATTATCTTCGGGTCCCTTGCTTTATTTCTTTCACTAGTTAATTTAGCAATCTGTCAGTTCTGATAAGAAGGTTTGATGGGAAGAAGATGAAGCTATTACCAAATGAGTTTGGGGAATTACCAATAGATTTCAATTATCCACGTTACTCTTAGTGAAGGCTGATTGACTATGAAGAAGAGTGATTCAGCTGGATGGGCTTGTTATTTAGATACAGGTTTATATAGAGTAACTGTTCCTTGTCCTTTTTCCCTCTTTAGTACTGAACATACAGATAAGATGACTAGGAAGTGACAGAATTGAGGGTGAAATGCAGGCATTCTGGTTTCAATCCTCCTCTGAAATACTATACCACACTAGCTCTAAACATTAGGAATATCCATACTATAAAAAATAGAACGAATTCAAAATCATTTAGCCTTATGAAATGGACAGCGCCTGCTGATGACTTTATACCTGGAGTTACAGAGTTGAATAGAATATATCTAGAGTTGGAGACCTGGAGTTTTAAGTCTTTTATAAGTAACTGAAAACCACTTTGAATTACAGTGGCTCAGTTTTCTGCATTGGAAACTGGCATTTATGGCATTGACTAGAAGAGTTTTATAAGAGCAAAAACAGTAACAGCTTAGACAGCACGTGATAGTAAGTGCCCTTAATTAATAAGACAGGTGTATTTTTACATTTGGTGCTGAATGTATGCATGCAAATACCTTTGTAAAATTCTGTTTGATGCTACTTTTGTATAATAAATGCATATTCTCTGGTGCAGATATTTGTCAATTTATTTGGTACTTGAAAACTAGGAAGTTATACAAAAGTCACCCAAACAGAGAATAAAGCTGCTTAACTGGGTACAGTAATGAACAAATCCATTGATGTATATATGATAATTATATATATACAATGTTTAGAGAATTTGTCTTGATTTACGACTAAAGCCTTTTTTTTTTTTTTTTTTTTTACAGTATAACTATTTTTTTACACCAGATGAAACACTCCAGTGTGATTTCCTCTAAGTTTGGCTGAGAAGAAACACATTCTCTTCTGAAATTCAGCATCACATAGAGACAAGAGTATAAGGCTAGGAATTCAGATCTCAAGTGTTTTGCTTTATGTTTTTGGATCTTAGTTAGATTTGCTGGGAAAATGACACGGTTAAATCAGATGATTTTCTGTGGCTCAAATAGCAATTTCTGCACGTGTCTTAAAGGAAGATTTGTTTATCAACTCTACATTCTGGGAAACGCAATTCTGTTTCTCCTAATGCCATAAGCCAAGAACACCCTTCTCTTCAGGAAAATATCAAAAGGAGTCACATGATATTTTTTTAGATATAGACAGAGGGACTTAATATAGTAAGCTGAATCATTGAAAACCTGTGAAAATCTTTCTAAAAGGAGACCATTGATTAGGCCCACGGTTAAGTTTGGGAGGGGGATTGGGGAGGAGGTTGAGGTGGAGGTGGAGGTTGAGGTGGTTTGGGAAGAAGGATTATAATTTTTTACATTACACCTCTACGAACTGCTTCAGTTTTGTCATCATTTGCACTTATTATATGTTTTTAAAATATCAGCAAGGGTTATCTGGGCAGGCAAATTATGGGACTGTTTTGCTGTCTGTGTTTGTTCTTGTTTCCGCTTTAGAAAAAGTGCTTGAAAGGTCAACCTAAACTAGTGTTCCAGTTCACCTGCAAGAAGAAACTTGTATAAGGCAACGTTACCTTCTTACACGCCGTGATGGATCTACCCAGGCTGCTCCTGGAGCTGCTGCCGCCGCTGCCCTGCTGCGGCTCCGAACCGTCACACATCGGGGGGGACTCCACGTTGCTGTTTGTGCCCCAAAACACAAAAGAGAGCACATTCCAGTGAGTCTCCTCTGTATTCAGAAATCAAGACTGAAACACGATGCAATTTATTAAAATTCATCTTTATAGGTTGCATCCAACACTGCAAATCCGCCTGCTGATGCGGACATTTCTTTGTTGGACTCACTTTTGTAATTTGTGGAACCACTGTGGACTATCCTATGTGCATATAAAACTGCAACCCAATGCCTTTCCGATTGCTTCAATGAACACAATCGCATCTGTCTGCCTTCTAGCAATGTTAGCGTCTTAGGCCAGCAGTTTTGAACCCCAAATGAGGTATTTTCAGGTGCCCCTTTAATTCAGCTTGTTCAATACAACACATAACAAAATACTCATTTCAGTCTTTAAAATGAGGGGAAAACATAATCTTAATCAGGAGCAAAACTGTCCCCTGAGAAGTGCACTCACTTTAGAAAATGCAGATCATCCCTCTACCGATGGGAGCCAAGTACCTTAATCTTTCTGCCTCCAGAATTCTAGATGTATACCCTTCCTCTCATCTCTGTCAAATCTTGACGCGCTTGATATATACCAAAACCAAACCCCTTGCTGTCTGGTCAATTCCGACTCATAGCGACCCTACAGGACAGAGTAGAACTGCCCCATAGTGTTTCCAAGGAGTGGCTGGTGGATTTGAACTGCTGACCTTTTGGTTAGCAGCTGATCCCTTATGACTATGTACAAGTATATATAAATATTTTTAAATATTTAAATTTATTTCTATAGCCTCCAGAAATGATAAGAAATTATCACCAAAATTGATTTTCATGATAAGACTTGAGATTGAAGATTGAACCCAATTTAAATACAAAAGCCCTCTGTAATACACATTTCTGTGTACTTATCTTCCAAAAATAAACTAATTTAGAATTTAAAAAATATACTGATATTGTACTGTACCGTCTATTTTTTTTTTTTTTGTTATTGTTGTTGATTATGTAGACGTACAACTCATTAAAATACCTTTTGGAATATGAATAGCTCTGCATATAATTTTCCACCCAAATTTTCTTTTAAAAGAAGCACCAAATACACAATCAGCTAAACAACATATTTTGAATTAAAACATAACCCTCCTGTTTAAGCTCTGAATCTGTTCATTTTCACTGCATTGCATTTAGCTATATGTCAAACAGTGTGTGACTCATCTGCTAGCATTTCCATTATTAATTACTAGGAATGACTTTTGTTTTTTATGACTACTGATGGTGCCAGATAACAAATCATAGATTCAGGCAAAAATTGCATGGAATAATTCAAGAGAAATCTGTTTTGTTTTAAATTTTCATGTATTATTTTCTGAGTAATTAGAGCCCTGAATACTAGGAGGAGCCTAATTTAAGTGAAAGTATAATGTCTCATCTTTGATTGACTGAGGAGAGGCATTTTAAAAAGGAAAAGAAAGTAATTGGGTCCAGATCTTGGCTATCACTCCCTAGCCATGGGTGAGCCATCTTGCCTTACGGGTCTCAGTCTCTCCATGTATAAATGAAATGTTTGCACCAGAGTCTGTGGTTCCTCCTTACTCTGGAAGTTCCTTGCAAAATATCAGAGAAGGTGTGTGTTTTCAGATCCACTTTTACAGGTTTCCCACAATATGGGGTCAATAATTTCTTAAGCTCCCATTTCACTGTGATTCCATCTCAAACCCAACTGCAGACATTCCTCTAAATACTTGCTTAGTGTCACAGGATTCTTGGCCATGGGGCAGTTTGACCTTTACCCAAAGGTGAAAATATGTTTCACTCTCAGGTTCCAAAATCGATTATATGTGGAAGACAAGCTCTTAGACTGAGCTACCCTTGACCTGGAGGAACTTGGCCCATGAGTCAAGGAAATCATATATTACTCATATACTCATACATTACTCCTTCTACAAGCCAGTCAATGTCCACTGGAGTTCAGAAAGACACGTGATAGGGTTTCCGTGGCTACGTGTCTTACAGCTACTGTGTCCTCTACACAACTCAGGAGCTAGCAGATCTCTTCCATTCAGGCCATCCCACAACTCATGGTCAGTGTTAGTTCATCTTCCAAGTCTTTTTGCAAGGTTAGGGATCAGAGGACTGGGAATTAGGGAGGCTGAGAAGTAAGACTGAGATAGACTTCAGGCTCATCATTCCTGATATAAAACACAGTAGAAACCGACCTCAACAATCTCTGACCACTCTAGAGGGGAATCACATCTAACTTGGGCAGAGTTGGTTGGGTCCAAACTCGGGGCAATTTGAAAATAGAAAAAAGTAAAAGATGACCCTTGAAAGTTCCTTATTTGCCCATAAAGCATACTGTATATGACTTTAGGTAAAAAATCTGCTGAAGTACTTTTTATGCACACAGAAGCTTAAGAATTTCTGACCTCATCTAGTAAAAGGAAGAAATGACAAGTGTACATTTTCTTCAGGGCTTATCCCATTTGTTATAATGCTAAGCCTGTATAGCATTCATATATATGTGTTTATGTTTATGTCTGTGTGTGTGTGTATACATTTATTGTTTTAACAATTAACTGAGGCAGTAGAGTCATATAAACCAAACCAAACCCATTGCCATCAGGTTGATTCCGACTCACAGCAACCCTATAGGAGAGGATAGAACTGCCCCATAGAGTTTCCAAGGAGTGCCTGGTGGATTTGAACTGAGTCATATGGTGGGGCTAAAAGAAGTGCATTACATAATGACAAGTGTGATGCAACTCCGCTGCATACATATTAAAAGTCTCTAGAAATACATCATAAATCAATGTAATGATACCTAATATCCAAAAGCATATGTTGTTGTTGTTAGGTGCTGTTGACTCTGTTCCAACTCATACGGACCCTAAGTACAACAGAACAAAACACTGCTTGGTCCTGCATCATCCTCACAATTGCTGCTATGTTTAAGGCCATTGTTGCAGCTCCTGTGTCAATCATCTCATTGATGGTCTTCCTCTTTTTCGCTGACCTTCTACTTTACCAAGCATGATGTCCTTCTCCAGGGACTGGTCCCTCCTGATAACATGTGCAAAGTACGTGAGATGAAGTCTTGCCATTCTTGTTTCTAAGGAGCATTCTAGCTGTAGTCCTTCCAAGACAGATTTGTTTGTCCTTCTGGAAGTCCATGGTATATTCAATATTCTTCGCCAACACCATAATTCAAAGGCATCGATTCTTCTTCGGTCTTCTTTATTCATTGTCCAGCTTTTGCATGCATATAAGGCGATTGAAAACACCATGGCTTGGGCCAAGCGCACCTTATTCCTCAAAGTGACTCTTTGTTTTTTAACAGTTTTTAAAGAGGTCTTCTGTAGCAGATTTGCCCAATGCAATATGTCATTTGATTTCTTTCTTTCTTTATTATTATTTTTTAAATTGTACTTTAGATGAAGGTTTACAGAACAAACTAGCTTCTCATTAAATACTATATATATTGTTTTATGACTTTGATTAACAACCCCATGACATGTCAGTACTCTCCCTTCTCCCTTCTTGACCTTAGGTTCCCTATTACCAGCTTTCATGTCCCCTCCTGCCTTCTAGTCCTTGCCCCTGGGCTAGTGTGCCCCTTTAGTCTGTTTTATCCTGTGGGTCTGTCTAATCTTTGACTAAAAGGTAAACCTCCGGAGTGACTAAGCTAAAAGGTTGTCCGGGGGTCATACTCTGGGGTTTCTCCAGTCTCTGTCAGGCCAGTAAGTCTGGTCTTTTATTGTGAGTTAGAATTTTGTTCCACATTTTTCTCCGGCTCTGTCCACAGCGAGTAAGGAGCAGAGCTGGACTTTGAACCTAGGTCTGCTGTACATTTAAAACTTACTCTAAAACTTACTCTCTCATTGTTTCATAAACCCTGACACAAGTTGACGCTGCATGTAACTATCCTAGAAAATGCAGCCATTTTTTACCTCCGGTTCTTTTATGAAGTTCTGAAAGAGTGTTGTTGTTGTTACTGGTGCCACTGAATCGATTCTGACTTATAGCGACCCATGTAACAGAATAGAACTGACCTATAGGGTTTCCTAGGCTGTTAACTTTATGGGAGAAGATCGCCCAGGTCTTTTCTCCCGCAGAGCTGCTGGTGGGTTTGAACCATCGACCTTTTGGTTAGCAGCCAAGCACTTAACCATTGTGCCCCCAGGGCTCCTTTCTAAAAGAGTAGAGACCTATATTAATAATGAACATTACCAAACACCTACTATGTGCCTAGCATGGAATCTATATTTTAGTTCTCCCAATAACCAGATGAGGTGGGCAGTATTACTACCTCCACCCCACTTTATAGATGAAGAAACCGAGTATTAGAGGTTTAAGCAACTTTCCAATGATTAAGCAACAAATATGTGAAATACAGAATAGTGTACACGCAAAAACAGGTCTGATTTTCAGCCCATGCCCCAAACCACTTTGTTATATTTCCCATGTAGCAAAGAATCCAGATTTCTTCAGATCCAGAGGACATGATTAAATTCCAAACGCACCTTTTAAATTAAGCCCATTATGTTTTGAAATGATCTTATTAGGACACATATGATAAAACCCACCAATGTTTTCAGACGTCACTTGTAATGAAGCAAGGAATGCATGGTCATGGTGTCTGGGCTCCTCTTTTTCATCTCTGGCAGTAACCCATCCACAAAAATCAGTTGATCACTAGTGCACACTTTTTATAAACAGTAACTTTATTTGGGAGATTACTATACGCTAGTCTTTGTGTGAAACTTAGCTTTACATGCAAAAGATTTAATACTCACAGCCCTAAGAAGTATATACTCTTATCGCCAATTTATAAGAAAGGAAAATGAGACTTAGAAAAGTTAAATAGCACTTGTATACAATGATACTGCTAGAAAGTGGCTGAAACAGTATTTGAATGAAGGCAATCTGATTCTACAGGCTTCTTTCTTAACACTATACCATTGGAGGCTTAACGAATATCTATACATATGTGTGTTGTTGTTGTTTGCCAATTGATTTGGATATATTT